TATCTCCTCCTTTCCTGAGCATCTCATCCAGTGGCATCAGAATCCCTGGAGGGCTCGTGAAAACCCAGATGGCTGCCCCCAAACCCCAGGGTTTCTGATCCAGGGAGTCTGGGGTGGGGCACAAGACACGCGATTCTAATAAGTATCCAGTTGATGCTGAGCTTGCCCATCAATCGAGACACCTCATTTTGAGAACCACTAACCTATTCTGGACTAGCCACTCCCTTCTCTGTTGCTCTCTATCACAAGACCCACTGGGGGTCTTTCAGAGCCCCAATATTACCCGAAAGTGTCTCCTCTTTTGTTTCCTTGTTCCAAGTCTGACTTCCTCCCTACGACCTCCTTATCCACTGAGCGGAGTCCCCAAGGCTCTTGCTGGGGGCTGTGTACCTCCCAGCCAGCACCGCATCAGGCCCAGAACGGAGCCCAATGGATATTTGTCGAAAGCAGAGATGGAGGACAGGAGGGAGGGGACAGGGGTTTGATGGATGTTAATCCCCAATTTCAAAGACATTTTAAAGTTCACCAAAATACAAACGAAAGTTAGCTATCATTATTGACCTGACGGTAATCTGGCTCCGTGTCTCCCAAACTTTTCATAAGAATGACATGGGCTTTTTATTAAAAACAGATTTTTGGTCTCACCCAGGTCCACTGGATCATACTCTTGAACCTTGGCCACAGGGTATTTGGGCCTAGGTAGGCCTAGCGACAGATCAGGATTTCACAAGTTTCCTGCTCGTAGGGATTGCCGAGGGTGCTTATTGAAAACACAATTTCCACGCTCCACACCTAACGATTCTGACTCAGGACTAGGATGGGGTCTAGGAATTTGTATCTATAACTAACATCCTGGTAAATTGCATGATTTGGGGACCGTGGAAAATCCCGCCCTGTCTGATTTCATTTGCTATCCTTCATCCCAACCCTGATCTGTTCCCATGCTCTCAATAGAGTTTTGAAGTCACAGATATAAAAACACTGCAATGAACTGACCTGTCTGAGAATAGCTTGTGCGGATGATGGAAGCTCACCCCGTTCTGCGGGTCCTACCTGGAAATTGTCTCCGGCCCACCATCCTCACTGCTCGTCCAGCCTCCCCCTTCAGTGCACCAGGTGGAGCCCCTGGATTCGTCTTCTGGGTGATTTCCTTGCATGCATGAACCCTTGTTCAAATCCAAACCAACCAACCACAGAGCGCTTCCCCACTTCCCATTACCGGCAGGACACACCTCAGCCTCTAACCGGACCTCCAAGTGTTCCTCCCTGGTTTTGTCTGTAGGAAACACTCACCACTCTGGTCCAGGCTCACTTGCCACTCAGCCAGAGTTCCAGTTCAGGACCTCTGCCCCTACCAGGACTGACTCTGGAGCAGTCCCCTTCAATTCTAGCTCCCCATGCCTGCCAAGAGAGCCTCCTTGTCCAGGCCAGCCCTTGCAGAAGGCCACTTCTAATCTCCAATGTCATTGAGCCTGTGTCCCTCACACTGCAGTTCTCAACCATGGTCCCTGGATCAGCAGCACCTGTGCCGCCCGGGCACTTGTTATAAATGCTCGTTCTCAGGCTCCACCCCTGCCCTACCAACTCAGAATCTCTGCAGGAGAGACCCACAGTCCGTTTTAACCCTCCTGGTGGGTGAAGAACCAGGGATGAGAGCTAAGACTCTAGGCTGTTGAGTCTCCACCCCTCCTTCTTCAGTGACAAAGGTGCCAGAAACCCACCGGAAAACCCATCATCTCTGAAGTATTGCCTGCCTACCCCTTTCCTCGGACCAATGAGCAAGCACAATGTTGAAGCCCAGGAATGGCTACTACCCAGCAATCTGTTACCTAATTCCCTCTGGGGCAACCTAACAGCTCCATTTCCTGGAAAAGGTTTACGTGATAAGATCTGTTGTGTTCTGAGGGTTTAAGAGGGCAGGGCTGCCCATCCCTCGTTGTTGGTACCCCAGGAGGGGAAGGGAGTCTCCACGGGATGGTGGGTGGTAGACGTGGAACCAGTCTGGATGCAGGTATCCAGGGCTGCTGCGCTCAGGAGTGGACACTGCTGGGCAGTGAGAGGTGCAACCTGCAGTTAAGTTGGTCCTAGGAGGGTGGGAAGGTCCCCACCCAGCCTCTGCTGGGATTTGGCCAATATAGGGCTAAGTTACCACAGCGACACCATGTGGCAACTAGGAGGCAAGGCAGTTGAACTGATGGGGCTCAGTAATCAGAACAAAGATTTACCCCTTTGGGGATGTATCAAGTTCTAGTGTAGTTCAGAGGGAGGAAGAACCTGTGGGGGAAACCATGGACTTTCTACCACTAGGTCATGGATAAAACAGAGCTCCAAGCCTCAGTTTCCCCATCTGTAGAGCAGAGGTCTCGCCTGTGCAGAGGGACGGTCCTGGTCAGTACTGACGTTGGCCTTTTTTCCTCTCTGTTCTTTTTTGTCTCCAGATCCAGCAGGAGCCACTGTGCTTTCTCTCTGGAGATTTTACAAGTAGGAATGGCCATGGGGTCCTGGCCTCACCAAAGGGTCCCACAGGCCGAGCGTAGCATGAAAACAGTGCAGTCGTAGGGCGTGATGGGCAGTGTGGCCTGGACCAGCGGGCATCTCAGTGGTGATGGGGTGGGGAGCAGACAATGACGGTTCTATACACCAGGTGGGGCGGGGGACTCAACGACAGCTAACATGACATCCCCAGCCGCCTGGCTGAGTAAGCACAGAGTCAGAAATGAATTGATTAAATGAAATGTTTATTTTGTGCATATAAGAGCATTTGGCATAATATCTGGTGTCCACCTGCAAAGTGACAAGTGCTGTTTTTATCATTACTGTAGATGCAAGGGTGGCCCGCCCCGCTAGAGCTGCGCCAAGAGCCCGTGCTCATTCTGTCCTCCTCCAGACGCCCTGACCCCCCAGCGAACTCCGGTCCCTGGGGAGCCAGAGCCCTGCTGGTGAGCCCAGGCCCCGCAGAACAGACCTTATTCCAACATGTGCGGAGGAGAATCGTGTTTGTAATTGTGAACAGCGAGTTGCTTCTCTGGGCTTGCTTTAGAAGGCACTGCTTTTATGCTCAGTTTGCCTGTCCTCAAGGGGCAGTTCTCCAGGGGAACAATCCTAACTGAGTAAAGCCGAGTGAGGAATAGGACACAAAGGGCCTCTGCAGGGCTGTTAGTCCCAGTCCGGCTGTGCTACAGGCCCAGATAATTTCCCAGCCTCTTATCCCAGAGCCTCACAAAGAGGTCCAGCCGTGACTTTGCTTGTGTAGGTTTCCAGAAAAGATCGATCCATCCATTCATTTCATGACCACTCAGAGCCAGTAGAGACCAGTCAACTGGTCTCGTAAGAACCAAATATTAAAACCTTCTGTCCGGTCACCCTGATGAAAAAAGTTTGTGAAAGTAGAACAGAGGTCACAGGTGCTGTTCAAGGCATATTCTCTGATTCTGTCCCATCTGATCACCTGTGCCCTAGAGAACTCAAATGTTCACACCAAGAGGTTCAAAGTGCCTCTTCTAGAACCAACCCCTCCCCCCCCAAAATACAAGCCAGGCACAAAAATTCCTGCCACCAGGGGTCACTCTCACTTACCTATGACCATCCACAGTGGGAAGGCAAAGCAACAAATGGAGCTTAAACTCTTGAGCTAAAAAGCTATTGCTAAGCATTCACGATCCAAAGTCTCACTGTCTATCATCTACAACAGGGGCAGGGGGTGCCTATCACTCCATTTTTCACATTTGTTCCTGGAGCTCCTATTCATTTGTTCATTTAAGGCTTGTAATTACCGTCTCCCGGCAGCTGGGCTTCAATCACGCAGGAGGGTTTTCCTAATCAGGTCATGCGCTCGACCCACTGGCCTTTATTAACGGCCTCCAGTGTCCTTGGCCCGTGTCCTTTCTGGGGACTGAACATTCCTGCCTGCTGGCCCTCTGCTGTGGAGACCCCCAACACTGTGGAGGCTCCCCAAACTGTGGGTGCTGAACACCGCCTGGGAGGAGTCTATCGGACTTCTTCCCAATAGCCGGGACCTGACTGTGGGTCAGCGAGGAGGCACGAACCCGTGGGCTCCGCCTACCCTGGCCGCATTCTGTGCAACCGCGCAGCCGTGCTGCTTTCTGGACTGCATCCGCCCACTGCCCCAGGACTGAGGACACCGGTCACTATAGCAAGACACCTGTGATCCCTCTCTCACCATCTGGTTCCTGCAGCGGAGGGGTTTGTGGCAGGCCTCCCCGAGATGAGCCCCTTCAGCATGAGGATTATTTTGAGCTAAAGGCCATCGAGACCCTGCAGGCTCAAGAGAAACTTCTGCCCCCCTCACCCCCCTTAATAACCTAGAAGAATTTAAATTAAGAGCGTTGCCCATAACAAGAGTTTTGACCAGAGATAACTCTTTACGGCCTGTCTACACGGCAGGGTGAACATGTAATTAGTGAATATCTGCTTTTGTTATCGCCCTGCAATGACCTTGCTCTGCTCGGAAGCCCCAGGGCTCTGACCTCCCCCTTAGCTCAGGGCGCCATGGAGACCTCATTTTACCCATCTGCCTCTGAACCTTCCGTGTGTGGTGGGTTCCCGTACGTATACATATCATTACATTTGGTTGATTTAATTAGACCAGAGGGAAGAACCTAGAAGGGCAGAGGAGAGTCTTCCTCCCCCACAGCCAATCTCAGCGTAGCCACAGCTCTGATGCCCCTGAGAAGCCCCTTGGAACAGCCTCCACCTTTTTTAAGTTCTGACAATGACCACAAATACCCTGCAGCATTGCTGGAATGGAAGCCTGTCATTACTCATTTCATTCTGGGTCAGAAAAACACTAACTTTAAAATTAATTTCCCAATCATGCTGGTCTGGGCTACCACAAAAAGGCTTGTAAACCACTGTTTTGAACATCTTGCCACCAAAGAATATGTCACAGGTTGTAGGATAAGTTTTTCAAAGCAAAGGCTGAGCAGGAAGTGAGCTGGCCACACCCCAGGCTGCATTGGTCCTCCAGGCCTGGCTCCTACCTGGGCAAGTCTCCACGGCCAGCGCTTCTGGGCTCCTCCTCCGGCTTCCCTGTTATATTCTGACTATTCCCGGGTGGTTGTAGGGATCCCGGACTCTGAGTGGACGAAGTCCTCTGGGCCAGAAGAAAGAGAAATGGGAAAGGAAGTCAAATGGGAATCTCCGAAAACAGAAAAGCAGCCGTCAGTGGGCCCCTGACCGCCGCATTCAAGGCCCAGTGCTTTACCCTCCGACTGTGCAGGACCAAGTGCTGGCACAGAGCTTCTCTGGGGACAAACGGTGGGCGGAGCAAAGGTGACCCCTGCTCTCCTCCCATGGGGCAGAAACACAGATAAACAAGTGATTCCAGGTGAGCAGGGGTTACTGTTTTAGCAAAACTGGGGGCTCCTCCTTCCTCTGCAGGGCTACTCTGCTCCCTGGAGAAAGTAGGGATATTGAACTCAAGATCTCAAAGTATCCAGTGTTTCTGGGTCACCAGCTAGATGAAGGCACGTGTTCCTCCCTGCGCCCCCCAACTATGGTTTTTCACACCCAGAATCACCTGGAAACCTGGTTGGGGGGAATGAGGGAAGGAAAAGATGGGCCCTTGGAAACATATGGCCAGCCACCCCTTTGAGGTCCTAACTACGCCAAGAATTGGTCGCCTTTGTTTTTAAACCTCCACAACATGCTTGTCTGTGGTTTAATTGATTTTTAAAAGCAAGATGCAAAAAATAAAGCACAGACAAAACTTCAAATCACAGGAACGAAAGAGATGAGATGTTTCAGAGCCTCAATTTGAGTGGTGCTCATCAAATCTAAACATCAGAAATGAGGAAAGGGCCTTTATAAACCCAAGCGGTGCTTTCCGAAGCAGGGGCCATCCTTTATTCTGTCTTCCCTGACGAAGGCACTGGCCTCAGAAGGCCCCTCCCTGAAACAACGCATACCCATGGACTGGATCTGCCTGTTCTACAGAACTCTTCCACCCGTACCCTCTGTTCCGGAGGTTGTCATGGAAACACCAATCCGTGGTACCCTACACCCCTGTCCGTCAGGGTGTGCACAAGATTCAGGTCAAGCTGGCTCTTCCCAGGACACCCTGAAGAGCCAGAGGGTGGAGAATCTGGTGGCCTATGACTGCAGAGAGACCGGCAGCCTATTTCTAGCCATCGCAGGCAGGCGGAGTGGAGCCGGCAGGTAGAGAAAAGTCTGGATGACATGAATCCCCGTCTGGTACATTTTTTCAAGTGGTTGGATGCTTATGTTCACGCGATTGTGCCTGAAGGTAAAATATAAAAGATGCCCCAACTCTCAGGGGTCCATACGTTCCAGTGCTAACGTGACACTGCAATTAGAAAAGCCTCATTCACCTTTGCTGGAACGGAATGTGTTTACTGAGCACTTACTAAGTGCTTGATGCTGTGCCAGTGACTTGCCATGAACCCCGTCACTGAGTCGTCACAACAGTCTTATGACAAAGATGCTGATTGTGTCCTTCTTTAGGGCTGTGAGAGGTCAAGCATTTGGCCATGATCACCTAGCAGGAGAGTTTGGACGGGCCCATTTCTCTCTGACTCCAGAGCCAGAAAAAGGTACCTGTGTTCAATCCCTTCAATGGGAAAGTGTAGAAGGGGGCAGGGAGGGCTGAGGCCGATTCCTCACCTAAGCGGGGACTGCTGAGCCAGGGTGGCTCGGCCTCCCTGCTGGCTGAACCATGCCCTGTAATGACAGCCCCTGCCATGTCCTCAGGGTCTCAGTCTCCCAATCTGTGTCCAGGGTGGAAATTATCCCTACAGGACAGTAGCAAGATGGTACAAACTTTATTATTTTTATAAAGATGTGTTATTTATTTTGAGAGAGCTGGGAAAGGAGGGAGAAAGAGAGGGAGAGAAGCATTGATGAATGAGAGATGTATCCACTGATTGCCTCTTGCATACCCCCAACCGGGGACCTGACCTGCAACCTGGGCACGTGCCCTGACTGGGAATTGAACCAGTGACATTTTGGTTCGCAGGCCGGCACTCAATCCACTGAGTCACATCAGCCAGGGCAAGAAGGTACAAACTTGAAATCACCAAATGTGAACTCCAAAGTATTCCTGACTCTGACGCTGAAGGTTCTTCATCTATAAGATATTATTCCTTTGGAGGCATGATTTCAAACGTTTCCTATGATAACTCAAGAATCACAATACAGAGTGAGTGGCATGTTCATATCAGGGCCCCGAATGTTTAAAACTGGGACCTAATTCCTGCTTGTCCAACTGCCACGCAGGCCTTGGCTCTAAACCCCTTCGGCAGCCAGGCTTCCCTCCCCGCCCCCACCTTATCTGCAGTGAATTATTCTGCAAACAATTTAACAGACAAATCTCCTGCCCTTTATTCCATGATCAAAGCTACTTTAAAGTAATTCTGAAAAGACACTGATACCTCTCACAGCCAGACAGACGCAAACGACAGATGGAACAGGGGGCAGGTCTTTGCTCCGACTAAAGGGGGGAAAGTTCCCCGTTAGTTCCCCAGGCCAAACTTCCTCAGTCCATGGAAACGGGTCGTGGGTTTGGATTTGCCTTAGAAGAGAAAAGAAGTGTAGGCCTGTCTCCCTTTTCTTCCCTGCCCCTCCTCCGAATAGAAAGCTATTCTGGAAGAATACCAGCTCCCTCTGACACAAACATTACCTAACTCGTCTGGATGTGTGAGAAGAAAGTACTGGCATTATCCACGGGAATGGCGCATTGCACTTTTCAAAGTTTAGTAAAAACCACTGTGAGCTAAATAGGTGATAAGATAACGTTTTCCATTCTCCAGCTGGGAAACGGAGCGTGAGGTGGCTCGGCCAGGTCTCCTGCCTGGAAGTCTAGTGTCCTTTCCACAACAGTAGTAACGTCCCCACACCGACTGGCACTGCTGTAACAACAAGAGCAAACTTAATATTATAAACAATTTCTATAGGCTAAGTACTCTGCAGTGCTTCCCATGTTTACACTCATTCAGTCCTTAGAAGAACCCTATTTTACAGACAAGATTCCTGAGCACAGAGAGGTCAGGCCACTTGCCTAGGGTCACACAGCTTGGACACGGCAGAACCAGCACTTGAACCCAGATGGTTGGGGTCTGGAGCCTGTGCCCTTGACCTGTACCTTGTGCTGCCTCACCAGACTGTGGAAATAGCAGCCTGTGGTGCCTGCCATCTCCCTGCCACGCTCCATGTAACTAAAACAGCCGGATGTTTATGAACGATGAGGTGCAGGAGCCCAGAGTCAACGCCCAGAATAGCACCTGGCACAGGGAGGCACTTCATAAATATTTGTTGAAAGTATGAAAAATAGATCGTCCCCCTTTCGTCCGGTAGCCACTTCTGCAAATCGGGAGGTGCACACTCAGCCCTCGGGAACCTCGCTTCTGCCAGTGCCTTCGCCCCCCCACCCACTTCCCCTGTCCCAGCAACAGCACTAAGCCCTGTTGCTAAGAGGATTGATGCCAAGGGGTCTGTTGTGTCAACAGGCATCACTGCAACACAGCTTGTGCTTCAAAAGTCTCCCCTTACACTCCCAAACAGCAGGCTGGGGAGAAACTTGGCTGTCCTCCATATGACAAGCAGCCTTGTCAAGACGCTCCTTCAAACCTTTCCGGGGTGGCCACTGCTGGAGTCAACAAGCAGCCCTGCTGGCTCTGGCGCTTGAGCCCTGCGTCTGTGTCTATCGTAAAGCAGCCCTCCAAATGTCAAGGCGACTTTCCAGGCCTGAAAAGTCCACTTTCCCAAAAGCCCAAGTGTTTCACCAAGTAAAAAAAGTTCCCTGGCCTTACCTCTTAAATGGGTGTCAGGGCTCTAGACCAGGGCTGCTGGCTCACACCAACCAAGAGGCTTTGCCGACCAAGAGGCTTCGCCAACAGAGTGACACCACGACCCACCCGAGTGTCTCACCAACTCGCCCACTCTTTGAACGATCTGCTCGTAATGGCAGGTGAATGCTGGGAAGTGGACGGAGGTCATCTCCCTGGAATCAGGTTTCAGAAGCAACTGCCAGGCCCCCAAATAGGCGGGAGCCACACATGCTCTGTGCGGGCGCCCCTCTTCCCTGTCCCGGGAGGGCAAAGGCTCAGACCACCGGTTCCGCTTGCTAGACTGTCCCAAACATTTCTCCACCTCCAAGGCAAAACGACAGATGGAAGCAGCTCACCCATGGTGGCAGCCAGGCACACCCCAGCCGCAAGTCACCCCTGGCAGGCACCGATCGGGCCAAAAAGCAGGAGGCCTGAGGGTGGAGTTTTAGGCTTCCCCAAAGAAAATGGTTTCTGAGGGGACACGGCAGAGCAATGAACGTGCTCCAGAGCCAGAGAAAGCTGGGTGTGAATGAATTGCTGCTGTTCCCTTAAAGGCAGGAGAGAGGAAGACAACTCGGCTTGCAGTGGGATTTGACTGTTCCGCCTTGTGTCCAGGAAGGGCTGAGTCTCGGTTCCAGGTGGACACGGAGGAGTTAGAAAGTCAGGGTGTGAGGCATCGGATACAGGGAAAGCTCAGCCTGAGTGGGAGTTTTCTGTGCTGTCTGCTCAGCTTTTCTGCGAACCTGAAAATACTCCCAAATACAACAATAAAAAAGGAAGACAGTTCCTGCCCTCCTGAAACTTACAGTTTAGTGAGTGATTGACAGATACGCATTCAATAAACGATACCTGCTTTCCCTGCCTTCCTAACACCTGAGTGGGAGGGTAGGAGTTCCCCTCAAAGGACCCAGGAACCCCCCAGAGGCCAGAGTTGACCTGGCCTGCTGACCTCTTTAATCTGTGGGGAAAGTAAAAAACCTTTGAGACTTGAAACACACGGCTCAACATTAATGTATGTTTAAGGTTTTAACAGCCATGGAATTTACAGAGGGCTGGACCAGCTCAGAAAACCCAAATCCCTGCACTTCTTGGAGCCTCTTTCTCCAACTATTGGGAGCCACAGTCCCTGGCCTGCCTGACTCAGCAGGCGGCAGGAATGCCTTGTCGACATGGAAAAAAAAAAAAAAACCTGTGCAAACAGAGAAGGAAGTCTCATTATGTAAAGAGTTGAGTTTGTCAGGATGGCCCATAATGTCCTATGATTCGTACTCAATTATGTTTGCAGTGCAGACATAAACCTTATTTTGTGCCCCTCTAGAATTCCTACATCCACTCATTTTCATGCTGGAAGATCACGAGGCTTGATTCAAGAAGCAGAGAGCAGGAAGCCGCAGGTAGTAGTTAAAAGCTGAGCACTGCCACTCATTTAGCTGTAAGCCTTTGTCTGGGCTCTGGCCTCCAGCACTGTATCCAGAAAATGGGGATCATCACAGGGATGCTTTCAAGGTCAAATAAAATACTACACGAGGAGCACTTCACACAAGGCTAGACCACAGTGGACACTCAGCAATGCTAGTTATTGTCATTACAAAGAAGAAACTGACTCAAAACTCATTAACTAAGAGCCCCAGTGGCGAGCTCCACTTAGAGCCAAAGCAGCTAATCAGACTCGTCGGAAGATGTTCCTGGCCACCGGGACCCATGCAGGCTCACGAACCACCGTAATCGTCCCAGTGAAAAGCAGCACCAGCCCGCTGGGCTGGGCAACTAGACGTGACAACAAAGAAGCTCCCCATTGTTATGAACATTGAGCTTCTGCTGTTCCACGGTCTCTTCCCTTGATTTCTTTTTCATTAAGTGCAGTTAAATCATCCCAGATCCCCGCGTACCACCAGGAGAATATGAGAAGACACTGGCTTTTGCACCACTAGCCTAATGCTGTCGTCATGTCAGGTTTCTTGGGTTCCCAGGAACTGGAGAAACTACCCCCCCAGTTAAGTGGGGGGGCCCAAGCATTTGAACAACACAGGTACATACTTACGGGCTGTTTATCCAGCAAAATAATGGTCACACAGCACCTGAGCCTCAGCCCTCGGGCCAGCCTCAGCCTGCGGAGATGTGCACAGGCACGCTCCCAGGGGACCCAGAGTCCAGGGACGGCTCACGGAACACCAGTTCTCCGGTCCTCCCAGCCCTCATCCCTTGGCTGTCAGTGGATTCCACCCTCCAAGGCCCCTGTGTTGGGGTTGCTTTTAGGAGTGAAACTTGGGCCCAGGTTCCCTCTTGGACCCTGAGCCAGGAGCAGGGAGACCTGCCCCTACAAGGCCTGGGGTTGCAGGGGCAGGGAGCGGTGTACACAGCGACCTGCTCTCCATCCTCCTGATCCCCGCTCCCGCTCATCCTTTGGCTCTGAGCTTCAACAGCAGCCCCCCAGGGAGAGCCTTCCCTGACACCCAGGCCAGCTCAGGTATCCTTGACCCTGTCTCCTTGCTTTGTAGCATCGACCCCAGGTTTTTAAATTTTTAGTTGAAAATTATTTTTTTCTGGACTCTAGATACAGAAATATCCAGACAATGGAATTGTTTTTAAAAAGTTTTTCTTTTTTACTGACCATATATATATAAGTTGAACTTGGAATTACCATATGATGCAACAACTCTACTTCTAGGTACATGCCGCAAAGAGAGTAGAGGTGAAAGCTGGTGTGGCTCAGTGGACTGAGTGCTGGCCTGCGAATCGAAAGGTCACTGGTTCGACTCCCAGTCAGGACACAAGTCTGGGTTGCAGGCCAGGTCTCCCATTGGGTGCATGCAAGTGGCAACCTATTGATGTATCTCTTGTGCATCAATGTTTCTCTCCCTCTCTTTCTCCCTCTCTTCCCCTCTCTCTAAAGATAAATAAATAAATTCTTTAAAAAAAGAAAAAAGATAGTAGGGATATGAACAGATACTATACACAGAAGTTCATAGCAGCATCCTTCACAACTCCCAAACTCTGGAAGCAACCCGAAAGTCCTCCAGCAGATGAATGGATAAACCCGCTGTGCTGTGACCATGCGATAGCTATACGATGACGTTTAGCCGTAAAAAGGAAGTATTGACACACGCTGCAACATTATGTTAACTGAAGGAAGACCGACACAAAAGGTCCCATATTGTATAATTTGACTGATGTGAAATCACTAGAATTAGTCAATTCACTCAGACCAAGAGCTGGTCAGTGGCTGCCGGAGTCTGGGAGCAGGGGCGATGGGGAGGGTCTGTTTCGTGGGAGGGAGGTTTCCTCTCGGGGCCACGAAAACATTTTAGAACAAGACAGAGGTGGCGGTTGTACATTATGAATGTATTGAATGCCGCTTAAAGTGGTTACATTTATATGAATTTCATCTTAATAAGAAAAGAGAAAAATGGCCCCTACTGAACAAGTTCCATGATTTCAGACTTAGGATGATGTCTTAGCTGTAACACCGAAAGCACAAGCAACAACAACAACAAAAATAGGTAACTGGGATTCCAGCAGAGGTAACGATGTTGCGCATCCCAGGGACGCCTCTGGGTGTCCTTCAAAAGAAGGACCTCTTCTCTTCCTTCAAAACACCTCTTTCCTTCAAAAGAAGGAAAAGGCAACAATGAAATGAGAGAAAATGTTTGCCAATCATATATCTGGTAAGGAATTGATATTCAGAATATAAAAAGAACTCCTACAACTGAACAGTTACCAACCCCCCCCCCAACAACCCCTCAGTGTAAAAATGGACAGTCCTGGCTGGTGTGGCTCAGTCAGTTGGGCATCGTCTTGCAAACTAGAAGGTCACAGGTTCGTTACCAGTCAAGGCACATGCCTGGGTTACCAGTTTGATCCCCAGGTGAGATGCATGCAGGGACAATCGTTCAATGTTTCTCTCTCACACCGGTATTTCTCTCCTTCTCTTTCTCCCTCCCTTCCCCCCTCTCTAGAATCAATAAAAAAAGTAATTGTTTTTAGTTCAGAAAAAAGGACAAAGGACTTGAATCAATATTTCTTTCAAAGGTTCACAAATGGCCAATAAACACATGAAAATATGCTCAACATCACTAATCACTGGGGAAATGCAAATCAAAACCACAATGATACACCACTGCACATCCGTTAGGACGGCTATTATATGAAAAAAAATAAGTGCTGGCAAAGATATGGAGAAATTGCTGCTGGAAATGTAAAATAGCACAGCCCAATGGAAAATAATATGGCAATTCATAAAACAGTTAAATGTGGAATTAACATACAAACAATTCCAATTTTAGATACATGTCCAAAAGGATTGAAAACAGGGGCTCAAGCAGATACTTGCACACCCGTGTTCAGAGCAGCACTGTTTACAGTTTCTAAAAGGTGGAAGCCACCCAAGTGTCCCTCAATGGGTAAATAAATGAGCAAAATATGGGATATACAGTGGAATATTATTGAGCCTTAAAGAGGAAGGAAATCAGACACCTGCTGCAACCCAGATGAACCTGAGCACAGTAGGCTAAGTGAAATAAGCCAGGCACAAAAGGGCAAATATGTGTGAGTTCACTTATGGGGGCACCTACAGTAGTCAAATGCATGGTTAGAGAGCAGAATGGCAGTTGCCAGGGGCTGGGGAGAGGAGAGAATGGATGGCGTGGTGGGAGGGGGGGCATTCTTGTTTAATGGGTCTTGGGTTTCGGATGCAGGGATGACAAAGTCCTGAAGCTGTCGACGATAATGGCTGCTCAGTAATGGGGATGCACCGAATGCCACTGTGTACTTAGAAATGGTTAAGACGGGAAGTTTTCCACTATGTTTGTGGTGTTACACTAAAAGAAACAGAGTCCTCGTTTCCACTGGCAATGTTTGTCTGTGTTTGTTTGCCTGCCAGCTCACCGTCTGTTGTTCTGTATGGGAGGGGAGCTGTGCTGGAGCAGATGAAGGCTAAATTAGTCACTGCTGCATCTCACAGGCTAGAACAGTGCCTGGTATACAAGCATTCCTTACCGTTTTAAAGAAAAAAACGTTTTATTTACTTGTTGGTGTGTCTGTTTACACGTTTACTTGCTGACTTCCCACTGGACACATGTTCCCAGAGCCAGGGACCTGGTTTGTTTGGTTCTGCTCTGGGTCCGCAGCACCCGCCACCCATCGAGGGCTCCCCGGTGGTCCACCGAGTGAATGAAACCAGGGTCTCCGGCTCACTCCTCCACTCACCCCGGCGATGCAGGGGATCAGCCTTCCCAGCCTATGCTTGTCTCAGAAACAGGAGTGATGAGCCTGGGCCTGCCCACCTCCCGGGAGTGTGGCAAGAATCAGATGGGATCGCACGTGCCAAAGGGCTTCACCGGGCTCGGCACAGTTATTTCACAACCTTCAGCACATGTTTGGGTGGGACGTGCAGAAGCACAAGGGCACCAGGCAGACCTGCCTGGCAGCCACCCATGGCGGGTGGGAGGGAGCGGCTCTTTTCTTAAAGCAAAGCACACGTCACTCCAGTGTGATGGGATTTCAGAGCAGGAGGCCTCACCCTGACCTTCCCCCAAGTGTACCTCGTACCTCAAGCTTGACATCCTCTCCAGGGTGAAATGGTTGCGAAGCTCCCAGGTAGCCCTCCTCCCAGTCAACAGCATGTGCTCAGGGCTGTGCTAAACTATGGGACCTGGCCAGCTGCGTTAGCACACAACGACACTGATGAACCGATCAGGAACTCAATCTTTTTACGACACATCAGTTTGCCTACCGACAAAGGGTTGCCACCACCCCACCCCTAGCCTCACTCCAGGACAAGGGAAATCCAAGTACAAGGGTTTGGAAGGGTTAGTGTTGGCTCCCAGCGTCTGCGTTACATCGAGAACACAAGCCCCGTTTAGCATCTCACTGCAAATCAACTGAGCCCGTCCTTGGGTGGGCGCACTGTGTTGTTTGAGAAAAAGCTACACATGTGTGGCAGATTCCATTATGTCGCATAGCTTATTTAGGGTGACTGGCAGGAGGCAGTGAGAGCAGGAGAAGAGATAAAAGGCCATCTAGATGTTGGGAGGCAGCCGGAAAGCAGACCATGCAGAGCACATGCCCCAGTACCTGAGGAGGCCCAGGGTTTGGAGGCCACAGGATGTCGCTGGGCAAACCAGGGTCCTGTTGCTGAAAGCAAAGGGGTCTCGCCATTAGGATGGGCACAGTGAACAGCATCCCCCGCAGGACCTGACAGTCTTGGCAGTTTCTGTTCCCAGGCCTAACCTGCTGGGCGTGCTCCCCTCTGCCCATGGCTACGGGGCAAACCAGATGACAGCAGGAGAGGAACCCACACCCGAGGCTACACCAGGAGGGCCAGAGCCAGCACGGGGCAGGCCTGTCCCTCTTCCTTTGCCCTCATGATACGGCTGGTCCCCAGTGCCCAGTCCTTCGTCAGCAAATGGAAGACTCCTTCAGACCTCAGCTTCCCTTCCAAGAGCCCATTTGTACGTAGCACGCAGGGACTTCCAAGTGCATCACCACAGAGAAGGGGCCTCAGAGAGAGGATGGGGCCGTGGGGGATGTGGGGAGTGGGGAAGCAGAGGAACCAGTCTCCAGTGTCAGTGAAGATTCAGGTGCGAGGGGACGGGGTTGTGTCAGTGCGAGTGAAGAGGGGGGAAATGCTAGAAAACAACAGAGCAATCAGTATGGGCTACATGGTTGTCTTTTGACAACGTGAGTCCAATGATATGGTGGGCAGTCATCACCCTGGGCCCACCTTTCCCTGGCAGAGGTGTGTGCATGACTCAGCCTGGCTCATCCTGCCGCCTACATTCCAGGGCACAGCGACAGATCCCCGAGAAGGCACATGCATGACAATCCCAGCCAGTCGAGGTTCCATAGAGGGGACCGATAAGATGCTGGCCCGTCAGCGGGGAGGAGCCCGGGAACCTGGAGCTGCTGGCAGGGCGAGAGCACCTCCCAGAGCCCTAGACACTGTGGAGGGAACAGGACAGCGCCCAGAGGGGAAGGGTCTCTAGGGTCATCTCTGCAACCTCTGGAGTCAGCGACTATTGCAGCTTGACCCCCTCTGCGGACTTCTTAGTCCAATGAGCCGAACAAGCCTTCTCAGCTTCTCACCGCAGATGGGCTTCTGTTTCCCCCACTCAAGAAAAAGTCCTAACCAAACAGAAATTCAGAAGACTGAATGGTGAGCCCATTGATTACTTTATTACTTACTAAATCCATGTAGAGAATGGGAGAGGGTGGAGCCAGAGGTGACTCCAGGTTTCTGTCGTGGAAGACAGGGACATGGCTCCCAGGAGGAAAGGGCCAGGGAGGGCAGCTGAGCTCAGCTTCGAGGACCCTGGGGTGACTGTGCATCATCCAGGCAGAGACACGGAGGAGACAGTGGAAAGGTGGGTCTGGGGCCCCAGCCCCAGGGGGAGCCCTGAGTCCTCAGCCAGACCTACTTTGCTCCACCTGCTTCTCTGTGGAAGGGAAGCCCTGTGCTGATCCGGGAACGCTAACGGCAGCCCCCCACTACCCACCGCGGGTCAGGCTGAGGTTAAAGATGTGAAAACCTGGAGTGGCAGCAAACCACCTCCTGTCTGCCCCAGGAGGGCAGGGACTCAGGACGGAGGAGAGGGGTGGAGCTGCGGGGATAGGGGGACTGGGGCAAAGGTCCTTAAACTTCCCAGCATTTTCCGATCAGCAGAGACTAAGTATTCATGGCTTTCAAGGATAGAGTGAGATGGGCTCTCATACCCTAATAAGAGGAATGTAAATTAGAGTTACCTTTCGGAAAAGCATTTTGGCTGCAGACGAGGAGATGGAGAAATAGAGGAAGAGATATAGATAGAGACAGAGAACAAAAGATACTTACTGACGCAAGAATTCCATTCCTATGAGTCTACCCTAAATAGTTCTGGGCAGTGTGATTTTAGCAAAGATAATGGAGAGAAAAAATGTGAGCTCTTTCAAATTTTGTGTCCAGGGAGAAATTCCTCTTAGGTTAGAGAAATCTAGCCCCTGCCCCCAGGAGTTCTCCCGAAGCAGGTAGAACCCTCCTCCATTCTAAGGTGTCTGAACGTCGGCACCTTTCACATTTTGGGGTGGACAGTTCTTCGTGGTGAGGCTTCCCCGTGCACTGAGAACCTTCGGCACCATTCCTGACCTCTCTCTACCCACTAGGTACCAGTAACATCTCCACTCTGGAGCTGTGACACCAAAAACGTCTTCAGATGTCGCCAAATGTTCCCCGGGGAGCACAGAATCACCCCCCAGTGAGAAGCATCACATCGTCCTGTTTGTAGCCAGCGGTGGAACCTGCAGAGGGTTTGGGCCCCAGACAAATCTGGGAGACCTCAGGGAAGGGGCGGAAGGCGAGTTGCTTGGTCCGTTGGTGAGCAGGACTGGAGGCCAGAATGGAAGTCTGGTGCCTGCACTGCGCCTGCACCTGGAGGGCCTCAGCCCTTGGCCTTGCCCTTCCCCTCTCTCAGATCTGAGACAGAACATTCTGTGTAATTCCAGATGAACAGTTAAGACATGAACCAAACCCTGCCAGCAGGAAAATTTTTTTGTATTGAAAAATAATTGAAATTGGTTGGCAACATTTTAAAAAAATTGTAAGATTTCTTTACTCAATCTCTTCTAGAAAATAGGAGAGAGAGAATTTCCCATTTTGTGAGACTAGGATTACCCTGATACTAGGGCCAAATCTGCACCCCCCCCCAAAAAAAAAGAAAACTAAAGAGCAATATTTCTCATGGAGTTAAATGTACAAATTCTCCATAAGCTGTGACCAAATCAAATCTAACAATGTTTAAAAGTAATTATACACCATGACCAAGTGGGATTTATTCCAGGTATGCAAGGCTGGTCCCACACTCAGAAATCAATTAGTGCAACCTAACATATCAACAGGCCAGAAGAAAGATCATACCATGACATCAGTTGATACAGAAAAAGCATTCAAACTATCCAATACCCAGTCACAATAAACATCCTCAGCAAAGTAGGACTCCAGGGGAATTTCCTGAACTTGGTAAAGAGAACTTATGAGAAACCTACAGCCAATATCTTCCTTAACAGGGAAACACTGAGTGTTTTCCCCCCGAAGACAGGGAACAAGGCAAGGAGAGCCACTCTGACTATTCTCAGCTGACACGGTTTTGGAATTCCTAGCCATTGTAATTAGGCAAGAAAAAGAAATACATAGCATACAGAATTAAAAAGAAGAAATACTACTCTTTCTATTTGCAAATACCAGAATTGTCTACATGGGAAATCCTGAGCAATCTATAAACAACTTTTCAGTCCTAATAAGAGAATTCAGTACAGTCACAGGAGACATGCTCAACCATAAAACAACCAGCACACGGACAATGTACACGTGGAAGCCAACATAGAAACCACATTGCCATTGACAATCACTGCAGAGAAGAGAAAATACTTCAGCACAAACTTAAAACATCAGCAGAATCGGCATGCTGAAAATGATGAAATGATGATGAAATAAGTCAAAGAAGACCTAAGTAACTGGACTGGAAGGCTGAATGTAGTAAAGATGCCAATTCTCCTCAAATTGATCCGTAGTTCTAATCTAATTCTTACCAAGACCCCAGCAAAGAATTGTGTAGACATAGATGAGCTTATCCTGAAATTTACATGGATAGCCATAGGTCCTAGAATAGCTAAAGCCATTTCGAAAAATAATAAGGTGGAAGGAATCACTCTACCTGATTTCAAGACTTACTGTACAGCAGCAGTAATCCAGATGGCATGGGATCAGCAGAAGGACACACACACAGATCAATGAAATAAAGAAGAACCCAGAAACAGACCCACACAAAGTTAACCAACTCATTTTTTGACGAAGGTACAGAAGCAGTTGAATGGGAAAAGGAGAGTATTTTCAACATATGGTCCTTGAGAGAACAGACATCCACAGGCAAAAACGAAACAAGAACACACAAAAAATGAACCTCAACCTAGATCTTACACCTTACCCAAAAATTAACTCAAAATGGATTATGGATTGAAATATAAAATGTAAAAGTATAAAATTTTTAGGAAAAAAGAAAAAATTTTAGGACATAAGACTAGACAAAGAATTCTTAGGTTTGAAATGGAAAGCACCATCCATAAAAGGAAAAACTGATAAACTATACCTCGTAAAAACTTTTGTCCCATAAAAGACAAGCAAAACTGGGAGAAAATATTTGCAAACCACAATCTGACTCAGGATTAGTATCTAGACTGTATAAAGAACTCTCAAAACTCAACAGTAAAAAAAATGCAGTTAGAAAATGCAGTTAGGGCAAAAACATGAACAGATATTTCGCCAATGAGGATATGCAGATGGCAATTAAAGATGTTCAACATCATCACTTAGCAGCAGCATGCAAATTAAAACCACACATGATGAACGATCACAGCACACATATCAGAATGGCAGTACCAAATACTGACAGCAGCCAATGACGGCAGAGGGACTGGGTAGCTCCTACGCTGCTGGTGGGAATGTGAAAGGGCACAGTGATTCTCGAAAACCAGCTTGGCCGTTCCATATAAAACAAAACATGCAACTACCATATGACCCAGCAATCACACTCTTGGGTATTGAACTTGGAGAAATGAAAACATATGTTTCTCTCTCTCTCTCTCTCTCTCTCTCTCACACACACACACACACACACAAATTGTGTATACGAATTTTCATTGCAGCTTTATTGGTAATAGCCCCAAACTGGAAATAACCCAGATGTCCTTTGATGAGTGACAGCTTCCCCCAGCTGCCACACCTCTGTACCACGAACACTGCTCAGCAGTGAAAAGGAACGGACTGTGGACACACGCAACAACAGGGATGGATTCGAGGAAATTGTGCCGAGTGAAACCAGCCAATTCCCAAAGGTCCTAAGGTCCTATACCATGTGATCCCGTCCATCTATATAACATTCCCAAGTGTTAAAGTTATAGAAGAGATATAGAACAAATTAGAAGTTGCCGTGAGTTAGAAATGGAGGGCAAGAGGGAGGTGGGTGTGGCTGCAGGGGCAACAGGGGGACCCTTCTGGTGATGCAAATGTTCTACGTGTTGACTTTATCAATGTCAGCATCTGGGCTGTGATACTATAGTTTTACAAGAAGTGACCCTTTGGTGTCACCAGGTAAAGGGCAAAACAAAAGTAGGTAAAGAGTACATGATACTTCTCTGTATTATTTCTGATAACAGCATGGACACCTATTATCTCAAACTTAAGAGTTTAACTATAAAGAGTTCAAAGAAAAAAAAATGTGGGTTCCCGTGAAGAACTGGCAAGATCCTGTACCAGAGGCTCACCTCCCCACATGACACCCGTCAGCAGGGGTGGGTGGTGGCTGTCTCCCTTAGACAGCAGGACAGGGACCCTCCTGTTCGCCACAGTCCCTACCTTTCCCCATTGTCTCACACCCAGGCACTTAGCACCGTTACTGTTTCTTGCCTGCCCCTGAAGCCTGGAGTTTGCTCCTGTTCTTTTAATGATTCTTTGTTTTCCCGATTAAGAAAGGAAGAGGGGAACTGAATTGAATCATGCTGGCCCTTACACCCAGTTTTCTTATTCCAAGAACTGAATACCATTAAGCCAAAATTTCCACTGTGTGTAAGATAAATGGGAAAGTGTGTCCTTGATTTTGTTCACCAGGGCACTGATTTTTAAATTTTGAACTTAAGCCCTGACCAGTGTGGCTCAGTTGGTTGAGCATTGTTCTGCAAAGCAAAAGGTTGCAGGTTTAATTCCTGCTCAGGGCACATGACTGGGTCGAGGGTTTGGTCCTCAATCAGGGCCCAGTAGGGGCACCTGTGAAAGATAACCAATCAATGTTACTTTGATGTTTCTCTCCCTTTCCCTTCCCCCTTCCCCTCTCTCTAAAAATAAGTAAATAATATATTTTTTAAAATTTCTAACTTAAAATGGATAACTAAAATCTGACTATAGTATCCCAGTTGTCTGCACAATTAAACAGAGTCCAGTCCTCAGTTGTGAAAACCTTAACTAACCTGGAAACAGTGGTTCACATTGAATCAGCTCAACACTGATAGATTTAAAAATCGCTTTTTAAGGGCCATAACTCGATTTTGGGGAGGAGTGTGCAAAAGTTTTTATTTTTAGCCTTCTCTGCCACACCCCTGTACGTTGATGGTGGGGCGGGAATTGGGACACAGTCCAGGAAGAATGTGCCAAACTCTCATTATATCAATTGTAAAAGCACAGAATAAGAAGAAAAACTAGTATTCGTGGCTTATAAAATTAGGGCTCATGGGAATTCTGAGGACAAAATGAAAAATGCCCACGTGGATTCGTATACTATGCCACAAGTGTCTGGAGAGACTGTGTTTTAGCTTGTTCCTTCCTGGGCAGAGAGAAGGTGCTGGAAAGAACAGCGCAGCCCGGGTCAGTGGAGAGGGCTCCGGGTATTAAGGGAGACCTCCCTGACACCCACCTGGTTGTCCGCAGTGCTGTTCTCGTTGCCCATGGCGAGTCACGGTGCACAGAGTCCCTCGGGATTTTATCAGAGGAGACTGGGGAAAAAACAAAACGAGACAAAAGGATATTCACATCTGCAAAACGGAAGAAGATCTGAGGCTTCTTCTGCCTGCTTGCTCCTCTCCCCAGACTCAAAAGCCAGATGATGGGAAATGTTTGTCTCTGCAGTCACATCAAGGACAGTTGCCTTGGAAGGGTTTTCTTTCATACTAGGCCACCCAAGGCTCCTTTCCCAGAGCGGGCTGGTGTTTGGAATCCCCACCCCGCGGCTGGCAGGCACTTCTGAAAAACGAGTTTGCGACCGCGTCTCCGAGTCGGTGCCAACGCACACATATACATATATATACAAACAGAGAGACAGAGCGGCCCGTTTGCCAAAGGCAGCGTGTTCTGCTTCTAATTGTGTATGGCTTGGAAACCCGGAGTGCGGCTGGGCTCCCACCGCCGGCGACGGCACAGCTCGGTGTCGAGCGTGGGGAGGTGCAAAACCTGCTCGTCTTCAACAACATATGGTTTTTATATTTTTTGCTCTAAACACTTGTTCCATCAAAATCAGTTTCACTTCTGCGCATATTTTTATGAAGGCAGAATGGCTTTCTCACTGAAGAAAATGGGTCATGGGGGTGAGACGAGGAAGCAGTGGCCGTGCAACAGGGCGAGCCGCCGGGAGGACCAGAGGCATTTCCTCCGGCGCACCTGGTGACGGTGTTTATTAGGCATTCTCGTAATGAGGGTGCATCCCACGGCTCACAGAGGAAGGCAGGACCACTCCTGACGGGGCCCAGCTGACTTCTGGGTGACCCCAGAACATAAGCAGGCCGTCACTTGTTCTAGGTGGGGAAATGGGGTTGCAGAAAACTCTAACAATCATAGACCTTTAGACCTTAGAGACCAGCAGGCTAACCCAGTGAGGAAGCAGGCTGGAGAAGGCAAGGGGCTGGCCCCAGACCCAGTTCCGAGGAAGCCAAAGATGAAATAGAACGGCCTCCTTCCTTCTAGTTCAAGGCTCCTTCCTCGGCACCAGGGCTGACATCGCAGTGTCTCCTCCGAAAACTTAATGACTGACTTACAACCAAACCTGCCCGGTGATGTGCTCATCCACCAAACATGGTGGTGGGGGGGGGTCACCATGTGCTCCGTCTACTGAACAGGCACTGGAAAATAAAATTTAAGTGTTTGGAGCGGGCTCAGTTAAAATGCTCCCACACTGAGAAAACTGGGAATGAGGTCCCCATAGTGATCAGTCTCTCACCCCTAAACTTTTCACCAGCTGGGTACAATTCCTTAATCCTTTCTTGCCACTTCCTGTTTATAAGGTAGAACCTCCCAAATTATAGGCTCACCTATAGGATGCAAAAATACTCATCTATTTACAACTGCTCACCAGGTAATTTTTTAAAGTTCATTTGGAAAATGATGCCTCCTTAGCAAATAATGTTGTTACAATCTACACCCTTCTCAATGATTGTGATCCTTGCACCAACCGGTTTAAACCCCATGCAGCTGGAATTTCACATGGGTCAATGTAATACTAATGTTTGAAACTCCTTCACCAAATTAAACTCAATAATTCTATTGAAAATTACAACATCCAAACTAGCTTTTTAAAACAGGTCAAAAGATTAAAGAAAACAGCAAAACGACTCCTGCGTCATGTACACTTCAGAACTGCAAGGGGAAGGCCTGGCTGCGTCTGGAACTCTCTCCCGTGGCCTTCAGAGCCGCCACCCCCTCAGGCTGTCAGAGAGCAGAGGAGGGCTCTGCCAGCTACTTACATTCAGGGAAGGCCTGAGACTTCGCAAAGTCACTTTCCCAGCAATGGGACTGTCTCTTCCTCCATTCAGAAGCGAGGGAGGTGTATGCGAACACACTCACCCACCTCAGCCACCTGGGCAAACAGCTGGTCTCCACCCTCGGCACCGACACCAACCAGCTGCGCTTCATACCTGGGCAGTGGCAGCCGTGCCGAGCCAGTGATTGCAAAAGTGTGCCGTCAGCATTGCCTGGGCCACTGCATCCGGGGCCCTTCCCACGGGGGATTTTCCCCGTTGTTGCATGAGGGGGGGATGAATGGGGGTAGGCTCCTCTCAGAAAACGCTGACCCAGGCTAAACCTGGCCACACCCAGGGAAGCGGAACTGTCCTGCACTGGGAGAGGGGAGCAATAGAGCGGGGACAAACCTTGCTTTCTAGAAAGGCGTGAAATGCTCAAAGGGCTTCCGTTGGCACCTGGGAAAATTTGCTGTGAGCGCTGCAGAGAGACAAAGAAAACTTGTGGAAGTGGAATGACGCCAGCAGTCTGGTGCCTGTTCATGGCGTGGGGAGTGCAGAACGTACTTACCGGGGCGTGGCTAGAGTTTCAACCAGAGAAGTCATAAAAGTGGCAGGCTGGCTGGATTACTGCTAGTCAGACCAGGCCACCCAGGCTGGAGGACCCCCTGGGGCCCGTGGGCAGGACCCCAGGGCAGCCATCCAGAGACCCTTTTGCCCAGCAGGCTTCCACCTCCCAGGATTCCTGCAGTTACCACCAATCAGCCACACTGGGGCGTGAATGCAGCCAGTTGGGTTCAGTTTCTGTAGTGGCAGAGACTTTGGTTCAAATGAGAGCTTCTGCAGGAGCCCCTTACCCCTGCCACGAGGCTCGACCTTTCTGGGGCAATAAATCAGCATTTCATCAAGAGTTCAGGGGAGTGTCAGGAGCTCCCTGAGGGGGAAAGCTGGATGTGGAGTCGGCAGGGGGCGCTCAGTGCCCCACTTCTGGGTCCGACAGAGCAGAGGGTGTATATTTCAACAGGCGAATGGATAGCCAATTGTGGTCTAACCACACAGTGGAATATTATCCAGCCCTAAAAAGGACTGAAGCTCTGACACCTGTTACAAGTCCAAAGAACCTCAAGAACATTACAATAAGTGAGTGAAACCACTGGTCCTATATTGTGTGAGGTCATTGATAGCAAATGTCCAGAAGAGGCAGATCTGGAGAGACAGAATCCAGGTTGGTGGTTCCCAAAGCCTGGGTAACAGGGAGCAACTTCCTGCTGGGCTCAGCCTTTGACTGGGTGGGATGGAATGCTTTAGAACCAGACAGAGGTGGTGGCCACCCGGCACTGTGGATTTTTTAACTGCCCCTGAATTGCTCACTTTAAAATAGTTAATTTTATGATATGTGAATTTCATCTCAACTTTTTTAAGTGTATAATTTTCACACCCTGTGCTTCTGCATAAGATATTTGAAAAATATAGAATTCCACTACTGGGTAAAAAAAAAAGTTTGAAAACCATTGCTTTGCATTTGTTATCACTAGGTTTCTGTACAGTTGAGGATTGGATGCATGGCATTTGCTTGCAAGAACATTTGCTTGCCCCCTGCCCCCACCCCTTCAAATCACAGGAGACTTTTTCTAAAGAAAAGAATCTTTTTCAGCAAAACATCTTGGATGTGCCAGCTGGGAATGAAAAGAGGGTCCAGGCGAGTCTGCAATAGATGGCTGAACATTGCAAAATCCCTGATGAGAAGAAGGGGAGGATGAAGAGGGGGGAAGTGGGGAGAGAGAGGAAGGCCACCCGAAAGGGGAGAGTCCTGCAGGACTCTGAAGGCGGGTGACGTTCAAGGTCTGACGTTCAGGTGTGGACCTCCGGCGGCGTGACCTTCCTCTACAGACCACCCTCTCTGTCAACTCTGGAGCCTCATGGCATCACTGTCATTGCTGCCACTGGGCCCTGGACCACCGAGACCATGGCTTCAGGATGCTGGGTGTCATTGCCAACGCCTGTCCCATGGCTGCTGTCCTGGCCACCCCTGACCACCAGAGAAACTGTCACTTCCACTGAGGACAAGAGGAAAGGAATGTTCAGACTTTTCAGCTCCCAGCACAGGAGCGAGGGGTCTGTCTCTTACCATCATGGATGGCCCTGGCACGGGCCAGACGCTGGGCACTACGCAGCTCGTAGGGCCCACACTCCTAGGCCGTGCCTGCCTTTCCCACTACTTGAACTAGACCCCAGTGTCAATCTCCATGACTGACCACTGTCTACAGGTGTCTGTGGCCTACCAACTTCCCTCTCTCCATGCTGTCTTCCTCCAAGCCGGACACCAAGCAACTACCCAGGCTTCCATTGCCCCTGATGGATGGGCAAACACACCCATCTGTGGGCTCACTCATCTAACCCTGTGGAGACCATACAGGAAGGGCTGTGATCAAGCACCAGGCCCTAGGGCCAAACGGCCATGGCATGGACACCAGCTCCACCACTCACGTGCCTCATGTAAAAACAGGCCAATCATTTACCTTCTCTGTGCTCGGTTTTGCCATCTCTCCAATGGGAATCGCGTGGTTGTGGTGAGTCTACCCCAGTAAAGCTCTTGGAAGAGATTAAGCGCTAGATGGACTGTTGACTGTCATGATATTAATGGCGGCGCGATTCCTGGGGACGGGACACTGCATCTCATCACAGTGATTCATGCTGCAGGCTGCTAATTCATTCAGGCAGCTCACCACCAACAGGGCTGACTTCACCAGGGTTTCGCAGCCCACTGTCCTATGTATGGAATCCACATGGCCAGCTATACCTCAACCTAGGTTCCTGAAGATTAAAATATAAGATTCATTTTAAAAGATGGCTGTTTGGGAGAATTTTTACTTTCAACTGGTGTATTGGTGCCACATGATCTGAGCCACAAAAGGTCCTGAATGTACATCAGCACAGCCTTTGATTTACTAAGTTACGTATGTATCCACAATACTGAGCCCTTTTCATGTGCTGAGCACTGAGGGGCTCATGCTTTTTTTTTCCAAATGGGTTTTTAAAAACATTATAGAATGTATTGGGGTGACCTTGGCTAATAAAATTGTAAGGGTTTCAGGTTTACAATTCTATGATATGTCATCTGTGTATTATATCGTGTGCTCCCCACCCCAAGTCAAGTCTCCTTCCGTCACCGTTTATCCCACCTCACCTCTTCTCCCTCCTCCTCCCCCTTTACCACTGATAATCGCCATACTGTTTTTAATATGTACAGAGAAACTATGGGCAAGGTATTTTCTTTTTTGTGGATAAACAGCTGGAGCCCAGAGAGAGCCAGTGGCGTGACCAGAGACCAGCAGAGAGCAGAGGAGGAGTGGCAGGCAGGGGACCGAAACCCTGCATGTGGCGAAGGATGCAGGGCTGCCACCCGGGAAGATTTTTGTAGAGTTCGGAGGTAACTCACTGCCTCTATCTCTTGTCCACGCAATTCTGTCTTAGAGCATGGGTTTTCTAGCTCTTGCAATGAAAACTGGCAGGGAAGGCTCCAGTTTGTGGGACTCCCTCCGCCACCCGCCCCAGTCATTGATCTGAGAAGAGGGTAGTAGGTCCAGGTTTGGGGCCGGTGACTAACTGTTGTGGCTGAGGCAGCCCAGCAGGCCTGGGGAGCCGGGAGCATGTGTGGGGAGCAAGGACCCAGGGCCCCGTCTGAAAGGGGAGGGACAGGAAGCCTGAGACCCAGCACAGCAGCTGAACTGCGCAGAAGCTGCCTGTGGGTGAAGTGGGGCTCGGAACCCAGGTCCTGCCGTCCAGGTGGGGCTGATGCCCCATTTTACGAGCTGCATGTGCATAGGGTCAGGGCTGTGGGGAGCTGGGGAACCAAAGGCAAGATCACACAGGCGCTGTGCCACCCTCGATAACAGGGAGGCCCAGGGAGATTTTGCAAGTAACCTCCCGCCTATGAGAAAAGCCTCCTAGGACTTGTTGATACATCAATCACCCCGAGTTTTACATTTGGGTTTATTGATTCTCTATTAAAAAACATTTTTGTATGTGATGGAAATGCATCTGTTTTAAAGGTTTAATAACTTTCGGGTTTTCTCCTGCAGTGAAGAATTTACGTCAGGAGTGCTAGAGGGGTCCCGAGGTCATCTTTCCCAACCACCCCTTCTACAGACGAGGAAGCCGAGGAAGCTGAGGCAGCCGAGGCCTAGAGGGCGGCAGTGGTTTACCCATCATCTCACGGTGAGCAAGGGCTGGAGCCAGAACTAAACACAGACCGGCCTGCTTCTGACAGGCTGGCCCACCCTGACCAGGCCCCTGTGGACTCTGCAGCAGCCTCCACAGGAGACCAGCAAGGCTGCACAAGACACACCTGCTCTGCTGTGGCTCTGCCCTCTGGCCACAGTAGCCTCCAGCCAGTCGGGTCCTGCTTCAGCCAAGGACAGGGAAGGCAGGGTCACCTGACTCTGCTGCTCCTCTGGTCCTGGACAAACCAGCTGCCTACGCCCCTGCCATTCCCAGGGGGAGCCCCAGGCCACGTCCCGGCTTCTCCCTCCAGCGGCTGAATTCGGAGGTTCTCTCTCTACCTTGCACAGCTCAGCGCAGGGCTACTTATAGCTCCGTTATCATGTTCCTGTTTGAACACAAACAAACAGCCGTAGCCTGGGCAAGGGACTGATGACGAGGTGCTGCCTACCCTGTCCTCCGGCAGGACACCTTCCTGAGCGCCAAGGGCCTGGCTGCTCTGCAGCCATTGGGTGAAATGATGCTTCTCCCTTTGCACTCTCTCCTTCCCCTCCTGTCTTCTTCCCTCCCCCATGTCTAGGGCAATTAGACATTTTGATGTGAAAAGTCCCGTCCTGTAGGACGTGAAGACCAGGAGGAACCTGCACCCACGCCCCGGAGATCAGGGACAACACTGAGACGCCCAGCTCCTCTGCTGGAGAGAGTTGGGCCAGTCACTGTTACTCTTCCTCAGCTCCAAACCCACTGCACTCAGATGCAGCCCCCTTTCTGCTTTGCCCGAGGGGGAAGGAGGGGGAAGGAAGGAGAGCACTCACTTCTTGTCTACTTCCTGTTTCCGGGAGCATCACCCACCTCCTGCTTTGCCCACCCAGCGTGGCAGTGGAATCCAGCCTGCAGTTTTCCCAGGTCTTACAGAGCTGGCCTCACGGGCCCCATGGCTGGACACCCCCCCCACACACAGAGGTCTGAGGCTCCCATCTGTGGGGCCCCTCCTCCGAGCCCCTCAAGTTTAATAATTCCAACTTCTCATTTGCTCCCCCCGCCTTGGGCGAAGGCTGCTTCCTGAGGTTAGTACCTTCCATCACACCTTAGCGTTTCCTTTTGGCCTTTACACTCACCTAGATTTCACTTCTTTATATTCGATTCTTTGTTAAAATAACCGAGAGGTTCCTGCCGCCTGCCTCTGACTCCCAGGGTGGCTGAGCTGGGATCCAAACCCGGCTTCTTCCCCTGGTTCAGGACTCTGCACGGGGCCCCCTC